ATCAAAACTACACATAGACTGAACTTAGATGCCAACCGCACTTTACATGATAGAATTTTTATAAAGTTAGTATTTGTGTGTTTTGGAGTACTAAATATTTAATAAAATCCTGTAATAAATATTTTCTTTTGAAACAAAAAGAAAGAAAGAAATCATTGCAAAATTTGAATCAGGTCACTACTTGTCTGATTTGGCAGCTGAATACGACATGACTAAGTCAACATTATCAACATTTTTTTAATATGATTAAAGAAACTAATGTAATTAAAGCTGTAAAATCATTAACCATAAAACAAATAACTGAAATCATCAAAGAGGTTGCAAGGTGACTGTTAATGTGAACAAATCAGAAACAACTCGATGACAATGATGGCAGTGTATCTGAGACAGTGATGTGAGAAGGCTAAAAAACTCCACAGTGATTTAAAGTCCCAGAAAAATGAAATTATAAGTGTAATTTTGGGGCCTCGGAACCAATTATTTGTTTTTTCATTATTTCTTATGGAAAAAAATATTTTCAGTTCTTGAACTTTTCAGTGTTCCAACATGAATTTGGAGCAATTTGAGTTCGACAACTGAAGTATCACTGTGTGTTCAAGCCTATCCTGGAAGAGTTATTTATATAGCTTAAACTCACAAAGCAATGTTAGATGAGTTATTCGTTTTCTCCTTTCATATCATTTAACAGCTTCTACTGAGTCACATTCATTCACGCTTCCTCTTTTCTTTCTTCACACCATAAAAATGGGCATTCTATGAGATTCTGTACTCAGGAGTTTTATTTTCTTTTTTAGGAATCCTCTCTACTTCCAAACTATCATATCAATGTCTCACTACCATTAGTCAATTCTGACCTATGGCAACCCTGTAGGGCAGGTTAAAAACTGCCCCTGTGGGAGGGAGGGGAAAAAGGGGAGCTGATACCCAGGGCTCAATAGAAAGTAAATGTTTAGAAAATAATGATGGCAACATATGTACAAAGGTGCTTGACACAATGGATGGATGAATGAATTGTGATAAGAGCTGTAAGAGCCTCAATAAAATGATCTTTTAATTAAAAAAACTGCCCCTGTATGTATGCAACAAGGTACGGTACCTATTTACAAGAGCAGAAAATCTCATCTTTCTCCCATGGAGTGGCTAGTGGTTTCCAAGTGCTGACCTTGCCCTTGGAAATGTAACCACTATGCCACCAGCACTTCTTCATATCAAGGTAGGTTCAAAACGTATGCTTTAGTTCCAATCTTAGCTCCAAGCTCCAGATTCACATTTTTAACTGCCTACTGTATGTACCACCTTTCTATTTACATCTATCAAAGTGATTCTTATATAGATACGTTCTAAAGTGACTATTAATTCTCTGATTCAGTTGGCACCTCCCAAGCCATCCCCATCTCGGTGAAAGTACTTTTGTTTAACCAGTTACTCAAGGAAAAACTTCTGAGACTTCACTGGGGTTTTCCTCTCTATCACCCTGACAACTAATCAGCTAATAAATTGTATGGATGTTACTTCCTAAATACCTAAGAAATCATTTTCTTCCACCCACCATGTTCAGTCCATAGTTATTGCTGGATTATTGCCAGAAAATCCTCATCTAGCTCTCTCTATCAATTTGACTCTTCTTCAGACCACTGGATTTCCCAGCTAGATGGATTTTTTCTGATGTCAATATTCTTTTTTTTATTTCAATGAAAATGTACACAACAGAACATTAGCCAATTCAACAATTTCTACATGTATAATCTGGTGGCATTGGTTACACTCCTCATGTTGTACAAACTGTGCTCACTATCGGTTTCCAAATTACTCTGCTACCAACAACATCCACTAAATGTCCTCCAGTCAAAACCCCCCTTTCTCTTTCCTTTCATTTCTTGCCAATATGGATCATCTTTGGGTTCTGTAGATGCACATTTTATATAAATGAGATCACACCGTATTTGTCTTTGTGTGTGTGTGTGTGTGTTTGTCCTTTTAGGACTTACTTTACTCAGCATGTCTTCAAGGCTCATCAATGTTGTGGCGTGCATCAGGACTTCATTTCTCTTTATGACTGAGCAATAGTCATTGAATACATTTACCACATTTGGTTTTTCCCTTCATCTGTTGAGGGGCATTTAGATTGTTTTCACATTTTGCCTACTTTGAAAAGTGATGCGGTGAACATTAAGTCCAGAGTTACTGTTTGCTTTCCAACTTTCAAAACTTTTAGGTACATACCTAGGATTGGAATTTGGGGGTCATATGATAACTCTATTTTTAACATTTTGAGGACCCACAAAACTTCCCTACAGCAGAAGTTATATTCCCATCAGCAAAGAATGAGGATCTCAATTCCCCTGCAACCTGACTAGCATCTCTTGGTTTCCATTTTTTATGATCATTGACATTCTAATGGGGGTGGAATAATCTCTCTTTGTAGTTTTGATTTGCATCTCCCTAATTGTTAATGACATCGAGCATAGTATATGGCCTATTTGTCTTTTTCTTGTTGTTTTGGAAGAGCTTTTGGTAGATACAGATATAGATATTGATATCATGGTTCCTGGAATTTTCTATAATTCATGGATGATCTTTTCACTTTGTTGACAAAGTATTTATTTTTTATGAGGTCCCAGTCATCTATTTTGTCTATTGCTGCTCTAGATTTTCTTGTCATATCTGATAATCCATCTTTTAAAACTAGGTTATCTCTATATTTCCTCCTAATAATTTTATGGTTTTACCTTTTGCATTCAGGATCTTGATCCATTTAGATTTGTTTCTTGTGTATGAGGTGAAGCTTAGACCCGGTTTCATTCTTTTGCATGTGGAAATCAATTTTCCTAGTATCATTTACTGAAGAGATTATTCTTTTCCCATTGAATACACTTAGAACTCTTGTGAAAAATCAGTTAGCTATAATGGATGTATAAATTTATTTCTGGGCTCGCAATTCTATTTCATTGTTCTCTCTACCTATTGTTATACCAGCACCAGGCTGTTTTAATTACTGTAGCTTTGTATCATGTTCTGAAGTCAGGACATGTGAGTCCTCCTAATTTCCTCTTCTTCAAGGTTGCTTTAGCTATTGAGGGACCTTTGCACTTTCACATAATTGCGAAGATTGGATTCCCCGTTTCTACAAAGAAGGCTTTCCGAATTTTGATGGTGATGGCATTGAATTTTTAGATTTCTTTGGACTGTATAGACATCTAAACTTTATGAAACCTTCCAGTTTATGAAGGATAATTTTATGCAATATTTTATAGTTTTCAGGTACTTTAAAAAATAACCATTTTGTCAACATATATTTCACATTATTCAATTAAATATTTGAAACATATTTAAAAGTTGTGCAATCACCACTACAATCAGTTTTAGAACATTTTCCTCTTCCTTATACTCATTAGCTCCCCACCTTCCTGGTCATAATCCCAAGAAATTATTAATCCAGTTATTATCTCTACCAATTTCCCTATCCTGGATTTCGTATAGAGAAAAACATATAAAAAGAAAAAAAAACAATGACAATAAAACCAAACATAGAAAAACCTCAGTTGAAAAGCTAAAGGAAAATAATAAAAACTAGAACCAATTTAAAATGGATCAAAAGATATAGATGCCATTGTACTAGTAATATTTCTTTTTGTTTTCTTTCCATTTGACTCACTGCAGATGTATAGATACATTACGATCTGATTACTTCATATCTTGCTGAAAATATTTTTAAATTTTCCATTATACTTAGAATAAATTGCAGACATCATGTAATTTATAAGTGTCTGCATGATCTACCACTGATCTCTTCTTGTTCCATACGTTCTGTTCCTATCAAACAGTACTACTTCAATCCCCCTAACTCCTTGTTAGCTGCCTTTGTGTCAAATCCAGTTCAGGTCCATTGTTATGGCCACTGTACTAATCCATTTCACTGAGGGTCTCTCTCACTCTATCTGGCCTTCATTTTACCAAATGCAATGTCCTCCTCCATCATTGATCTCTCCTGGCGATATGTCCAAAGCAACCAAGTCGGACAATGTTCTGTTGCAATGTATGATGATTTTATTGGCTAAGTTTTTAAGTAGATAAGAAGGGCTTTGCCCTCCCCCCCCAATTCTATTCTAGAGTGAAAATTCTGCGCAAACCTGTCCATCAGGGGTGACCTTGCTGGTATTTCAATGGTATGGCTTCAGCATAATAGCAGCATGTAAGCCACTACAGTAGGACAAATTATCAGACAGGCTGTGGCCTACCTTTCTACCTCCATTATGCTGCTACCCACAAACCTATTGTCTATATTGTAGTCACGATAATACTTGCTTGGCCTTCATGTTGAAATTCAAATTCTGAAGAATGACTGCTTGGGGTTTCAGGTATAAAAAGAGCATAGTGTTTGGAGCCAGATCTAGCTGTGTATTCTCCTCCTTCCATGTACTAGCTATATATATGCTTCTTAAACTCTCCTGCCTCAGTACTTTCTTAAACACTCAGTGTTTTTATTTTTCCATTTGTAAAATGGGGAAAATATACATTTCTCTCTTCATTTTTGTGAAAAGTACAGCAAATGATGCAGCCCAAAGTAGGTATTTAACTTATTGCTTCCTTCTGCTTTTTTCCCCAAGCCTCACTCTTCATTCAACTTTCCCCATAAGCATTGTCTAGTCACAGTAAACGATGTGAACTCAGTGTCTCTCAAGCACTGATTTCTTCTTCCCACCGTCCAACTACCCCTGGAAACCACTAATAAACTATTGTTTCCATGCAGTTGCCTATTCTAAGATATTTCCTATAAGTGGGATAATATAATATTTGTCCTTCAGTGTCTGACTTATTTCATTAAACATAATGTCACCAAGGTTCATCTATGTATAAGAACTTCATTAGTCTTTATGAGTAAGTATAAAATATTATTTTAAAATAAATATTGCGTCATTTTATAAAGAAAACAGATAAAAGTGAATAATTGCTTGCAATATACTATGCTTGCTGTTTCAATAGTATATATAACCACTTACTTGCAAAAAGGCTGTCCATCTTTGCATGCACAAACACTATTTTTTGGGCAGAAATCTGTTACGTTCCCTCGGCAATCATCAAAGTCAGCCACTGATGTACAATTGACTGTAAATAACAAAATTTGAAACTCTTCAACAACACAAACAAATGTTTTAAACTAGGCTTATACACATGTGAAAATTTTTGCATGAGAGGAAAAATGTTTATGCTAAACAATTTTTAAAAATGAAAATAACTTTGTGGTACTCTGGCAATCTTCAAATATCATAATTTAAAACACTATGCTTCAAAAAACAGATATACAACACAGTAAAATTTTATCCCATTATTTTGTAACTGATGGTTTTTAAAGCATGGCTTAAAAACAGTCAAAACACCATATTGTAACTTAAAGGATAGCTGATATTTCCATTAAAATTTTTTTCAACTATATTTGATATATTCCATATAAGGGGAGATATATAAAGCATACTCAAATATGTTTAACATGCATACTTATTTTTCTAGAATTGTCCTGGTATGTGCTGGTTGTCCTGGCATGATTATTTATAATGCCCCTTCAATCTCAACATACCCTGGTTTAGACAAATAGAATAAATGTTCTTTATACTAATAGTTTACTGATGGTAGCGGGCACCAAAGCCCCAATGCTTAATTATTAAAAAATACATATTTCCAAGAATACCCTGGAGAATCACACCGCCTGTCCTAGGGCTGTAGTATCCCTATCAGCAGTTTGAACTGAGAAAAGATTTTACAGTTGTTGGAAAGCTGTAAGTGAAGTGCACGATATTTCTATCCTACATTGATTTCTGTTATTCTCACCGAATGATTTTTCCCTGATGGCTCTGGGTACGAAGGTATTATAATGCAATATAATGCATATAATTATTACATTATAGGATTCAGTCATGCTACTCTTTAGAACCAAGAGTGTGAAGACTTTATAATCAGCGGAGAACAATGACTGGCCAAGGACATCAGGCTTGATAAAGCAGAGAATCAAAGTGAACGAGAACGACTTTCAATGAGATGGGCTGATACAGTGGCTGCAACAGTGGATTCAAATATAGCAACAATTGTGGGGATGGGCCAGACAGTGTTTATTTCTCTAGTACGTACATAGGGTCTCTATGAATCATAACTGACTTCACCACAACACTAATAGTGACACAAATAAACGTGTAGCTAATTTTAGAGGCTAATTTATATATTTGAGGGGATACCAATTTTTTTTCAAATCTATGTATTTAAATTTTTGTATAAAATGTACTCTCCATTACAATTAATACTTCAAAGTACTCTACTCTACATTACAATGAGTACATTTGTCAAATCTGAGATTCCATTCTTGGAAACATTTTTCAAACTCTTCTGTTTGGATGGCTGACCGCACCTCTCTCTTTTTTTTTCTTTACCTCTTCTATGTCGTCAAATCTCTGTCCTTTCCTGTCCCTCTTCATTTGTGAAAACAAAAAGAAGTCACAAGGAGCGAGGTCGGGTGAGTAAGGTGCATGGGGCAAGAGGCATGCTGGGTTTTTATTTTTGCTAAAAATTGGTGCACTGAAATGGCTGTGTGAGTAGGTGCTTTGTAGCAAAACCAGTCCTGTTTGCCACAAATTAGGCCTTTTTTGGCCACACACTGTTACACAATCTTTTCAGAACCTCTAAATAGAAAGCTTGACCCAGTGGAACAACCTCCAAATGCACTATGGGTCGACATTTTTGTCCATTGGGAAGCTGACAGACATCCAGAATTAGGTTTGCCATCCATTGATATTTTACCTTTTTTTTTTTAAGTGACAAAACCACTCATACACTTGAGTTTTCCCCATAGTGCTGTCCTTGTAAGTTGTGTTCAACATTACAATAGTTTCTGTTTTGTCCAAGCAGGAAACAAAATTTCACAGCCACACACTGTTCTTTTAAATCGACTATCACACACACAAAAAACAAGTTTAAGTGAACTGCTTTTATGAAAAATTTCACTGTGACCGGAGAGAACCCTTCCAGGCGACACCACTGGATGCACTTACTCAGAGAGAGTTGCTCTATGCTGGCTTAGCCCAGGGAAAATGCATATTACTAAAGCTCACCTCCACCCAGTGTAATTTGTATGTCCCCTCATATAGTTTCCTTTAAACAGATTTTATTAGCTTCCAACTCATACATGATACAATTCATTAGTTCAATCATATTAAGAAGAATTACATAATCAGCATCACAATCAATTTTAGAACTTTTTTTTCTTTCTTGTAATCATTGATTTTAGGTCCCCATTTCACCCCAATAACTTCTGCCATACCCTCAAGAAACCATTAATCCAGTTACTCTCTCTATTAATTCACCTATCCTGGATTTCATATACAGAAAATCATTCCAAAAGAAAAACAATGATAAAGTAAATGGAGAAAAACCTCAATTGAAAATAAAGCAGAGTATATTAAAAAATAGAGCAAATTTTAAATGGATCAATAGGGATTTCAAATGTTACAGCATGAGATGTTCACCTAACTACATCTGCAGTAATCCATTTCCAAGGCACTCCGCATGATCGCATGGCTGTTCACATCCTTGGTTGTAGTCACAGGGGATTTTTAATGCTACATATGGTATTATTATTACAATATCATTTATTAGTATTGTTTTATAATTGCATACTATTTGCTATTACATATCATATATTATATTTCTATTTTTAGGGATTAGTGACAAAACAGATTAGTTTTGAGAGAAAAAAATTATCATTTGTAAAAATAAGCACGATTAAGCAATATATTTTCATATTTACAAACGTTAAATAAAACAGAATCTCTGTTTGTAATATCTGTCAATTCTTTAGGCTTACTACTACAATCCTTTACTTTCTAATTAAAATATAATCAATGTTTTTTCAACCTATGAAAAAATCAATAAGATTCTTACTTTGTGCACACTGTGCAGTCAGAATGCAGCAGGAGATGAGCAGAATTCCAGTCTGTACGAACATGCAATCCACCATCCTGAGAGTCAGGCAGAAACCCATGCAATCCTAATAACCACCTTTTAAGACTACGTACTACAATTATGAGACTGTACAAGTATATACAGGAAATAAATGAGCATGGATTTTGAACTTTCCCCCTTCCCTCTGCAAATTACTGGTTAACTTCTTGGCTATATCCTTGTTAGTGCCCCACGTTTTCAGTTTCTCTAAATAAAATATGCCTGATTTATCTATGAATTGTATTCTGTCCAATTTACTCGCAGTTGTTTGTTGTTTCCAAGAAGCATTTTTTCATCTTTGTCCTAGATTCATAACATTTTATTTACTAAAAATTCTTTGCTTGAAGCATTTTGTTTTCATTGTAGGTTTCAACTCTGCTCAAAATCAGAGATCTGTGACCCTATAATCATTAGGGCTAAACAAAAATATGAGGATATCACTATCATTAGCAGTGATAATAAAGGATGAAAGAGTAGAGGAAAAAAGAATATGGAAGAGAGCAGGAAGAGAAGTAGCAGTAAGGAAAACTGGCCGGGAAGAGAGATCGAGAGCGAGCTGTCAAGAGGAAGGTCAGGTAGGGTCACAGGCACAACTGTAACACCTTCCATATGGTTTCCATCTAGGTCATTTTGACATTTTAGCCTTCTATCCCGTGTGTCCTTGGAAATTCACTATTTCTCCTACCTACTGGAAAAGTCTATTTTATGTACTACTTCCTGCTTGGGATTTCCCCACTGTGTTTCATCATACAGCCTTCTTTCTAGCCACCAATAAAGTGGCAGTTACATAACAGTTCCAGCTCGAGTTTTCCTGCTGCCTCTTAACACAGATAATGTTTTTTATCTACCTGGCCCAACTTGATGTAATAAACCAAAACAACGAGAACAAAATAAACCACCTCCCATGGTTAGGTACATATTTTACTCGATGCAGTAGACTTTGTTTATTCCTAAAAACAATTTCATTTTTTAAATTTATCTTTGTTTTAAAATATCATCATAGTAAAATAACCATTTAACAGTTTTACTTAGTTGTTATAAAAGATGTATGCTCATTTTTACCAAAAGGCTTTGGTTTGTTTTTATAATGGTGAGAACCAGGTCCTTATCTGAGTATTTAGGAAGATACATGACACAAAGGGCTACAAACCACAGATCAACCCTCAGTCTCTACTTTACTGATACATAAATCTCCTCCACAATATTTCACTGTCTTTTGAAAAGAATCCCAGATATTTTGGTTCAGTCTTTCTATATTACTATTATCACTAAAATGTGTTCTGCTTAAACATTCCAGTGATGGATTATTCAGACTATGGAAACAGAAGCCTTATCAGAAACATTCTCCCTCTATTAAACCAAAATACACTTTCCTGAATTTTTCAGTGTTTAATACATCAAATGAGCTTAGAAATCCCTGCCATATAGTGAGGTGAGGATTCATAATCACAGCAGCATTAAGATCATCTTAGAGAAAGGCCATGGGAAAAGAACAGTTCAGTTAACATTTCAGATTTACAATAAATATATCTGTCTTTGTCACTTCTAGTCTTTCTAAGATTTTACAAGTAGCTATATACATTTTCTATATGAGGCACACATGGTTACATATACAAAAGCAAGTCTTTCACCTCTTCTGCTTGTCTTCCCCCAAAGAAATTGCCAAGTGTTTGCTTTCTCAGTCTTACAGTTCGTAGTGGTCGTATGGCATTATTTTGACAAATGAAATATGAGAAAATGCTGGGGGTTCTGAGAAAAAACCCTCCCTGATAAAAACAAAGAGGAGAGTGTCAAGATAAAATGTTGGAATGGCTGCATCCGTCTTTTAACCGTGAGTGGTGCCATGCAACCACACTAGAGATGGTTAGAGCAGGAAGGACAGAAGAAAATCTGATTGCCTAGTGAACTCTCAACAAGCATACACATATTGGAATGTTTTCCACCTGTTGCCTGAACAGGACTCCTGGTCAACCTCCCAAGTGGCGGCAAGAAAAATGACAAAGTCCTCGCTCGTGCTTGTCTGCTCACCTTTTGTGACCGGGGAGCGCCCCGAGAGCGGCCCGAGAAACGGGGCAAGGCCAGCGGGGAGTGGGGGCTGGGGGTGCCATGAGACCAGAAGAAATGTCTGGTGCCTGCTTATTATTACAATATTTTGATATACAGTTTCATAAAAGAATCCCAATCAAAAGGGGGAAATGCAGGACAGAATGTCAAATTCTCATGGTCTCTAGGCTTTCTGAAACCATAGTGAGTAGATGACCCTTAAGACTACTGCTCTGATATTATCTTTAAATTTAAAAATATATCCTGAAATATTTTTAAAATAAAATGATGCATTAGCTTAACTAGTAAGATATCTGCCTTGGTCATTATGCTCTTTTAAGAATGATCTATTTGGGAACAAATCGAAAGCAGCAACTGGAACTCCCTAATATGGGAGCAGCATGCATATAAATGCCCTATGCAGATATATATACAGTGAACCCTCGCCACTTCGCCCATCGACTTCCGCGGCTTCACTCTATCGCGGTTTTTGCGTAACAGCACCCACTGCCTACACCCGCTCCTTCAGAGGAAAAAGACGGCGACCCACCTGTAGAGTACATCCCTTAAGTCATTTCATAGGCTATTGATTACAGTATTTGTAAGAACTATGTA